GAGGACTAACCAGCGTTAAACCCTCGCTCTGGTTACTGAAGGATTTCCTAACAGATAAAAACCACTTTGAATCCGGTTGATGTTCCTCCTCCCAGTTTATTGCCTTTTATTTTTCCCAGAATGCTGTTCACCTCCTCTGTTTCCATGAATCAGCGATGGTCGGTGAGGGAACGCTGAACGACCACACGGCCGTCTGATTAAATCAGAATTTCACACCGCAGCGTTGTTTTTATTGTGGTGGATCCACAGAGCAACACGTCCACTGTGACATCACTGTGACATCACTGTGACATCACTGTGACATCACTGAGGAACAGGGAGACCAGAACACCCACAGGCTTCATTAACCAACTTCTCTGAGCCCCCCCCCCACTGTGTTTTTATTAATAATTGACAGTAAAAACGTCTCCAAATATTTGTGCAGAGGTGAGAACTTTTTTTCCCTGCCGTGTTTTAAATCCCATTTATTTCCCTCCATGAACTGAGTCACGATATCAGGATTTTTTTTAATTAGACTAAGACTAAGACTAACTAGACTAAGATCCTAGTTAATAGAAACAGAACAAATAAACCGCTGCTCTTCATGTGTTCATTGATAACAGATACGTCCACTTTATTGATCCCCGGCCTGTAATGGCTCCAGGCAGCCACCGGGAGCAGCACCAACGCAGCGGTGTAATCCACCGTCTGTCGTTTCTTCTTCTCTGCTCTCAGATCTTTCCCCTGGGAATGATTTCCGTGTCCTATGACGACTGGGAATACCCGCTGGACACGAGGGTACGAGACGGCGTGAGCATCGTCTCCTCCGCCGCCACATCCATGCTGCGAGAGAAGGGCGAGCTGCCGGAGGCCCAGAGCAGCTGTTACAGCACGCCGTCGGACCGGAGCCCGGGCAAGCTCCCGCCAAGTGCCCTGCGCAGGTGTGTGTGTGTGTGTGTTTGTACATGTATTCCTGTCTTTGTAAAGACATTGATGAAGGTTTGAAGACGGACGTCCAGGCAGCGAAGGGTTAAACTCAAACAACAGCTCATTATTTTCTTCCTTTACTGAACGACAAAGAACTGAACCTCCAGACCTGCCCCGCTTTACATGGCTGTGGTAATAAGGTCCTCTCATTTACCCCGTGTGATCGTGTGTGTGTGTGTGTAAACACAGTCAGCAGCTTCAACGTCTTTGTTCTGTTTGTCCTTTTTAAAAAATGAGACACAACACCGTGTTTATGACGACCATTAAAAAGTTTATGATTTAAGATAAAAAACCGTGAGTTTCCGTGAACTTTTAATGAAGAATGAATCACTTTAATTGTGATTCATTCTTCATTGATCTCTGGTCTGTGGTTCTTCTGGACTCGACACCAGCACCGGTTGTTGTATTGTCACTCTGAACAGATTCCTCTGGTCCAATCAGAGCCTCGTCACCGCGTGAGCGTTCGCACGATGGAAATCTGAGTCGATCAGTTGCCGGAACAGCGCTCCACGGAGCGGCAGCAGCGGAGTTCATATTTACTGTAGAGACGGGCGTCGGCCACCGCGGCGTTTGACCTGATCTTAGCGTTTAATTTGGAACTGTCCTTTAAGTTTCTGATTTATCTTCAACCACAGCAGATCTGTGTGTGGAGAGAAACAGACTCTCACCAGTTACTGCCATTTTATTTATTGATTTATTCTGCCACGCCCCCTGCTGACGAGAAGACATAAAAGCCCACCTGTTAGAGTCTGAGGCTAATGATTCTTATGTTCTCCTACAGGTCGAACGGAGAACAGCACTACATTAACCTCCTGCACGTTGACTTCCTGTCACAGTGATGGAGTTTATGTATCAATCCATCACAGCCCAGCATGACCTCATGACCTCATGACCTCATGAACATCTGAGTGTTTACTGTGAGACGTCCATCCAGTGTCCTGTTAGATAACTGTCTGATCAATCAATCAATCAGTCAATCAATCAATCAATCACTCAATCAATCAATCAATCAATCACTCTTCCCACCCATCCGTCCGTCCGTCCGTCCGTCCCTACAGTCCGACCCCTGCGACTCCTGTGAAGTTCAGAAACATGTTTTTTCCGGTTGTGTTTCAGTTGTAAGTCGACGTCAGGCTGTGAACTTCAAAGGTCAAACAGAGATAAACATTCTCTCTTCAAACACGACATAATCCTTGAAGACCAAAGTGTTTCTGTTTCCCAAACAGATTCTTCCTTCAGACTTCTCACATTCTGGAAGGATGTTCCACGGCTGCGTGTGATTCTGATTCATTTACTCCTCTCTGCTGCTCCACTCTGGCGAGTGGGTAAACGTTTCACTGAGGGTGTGTGAGTGTGTGTGAGTGTGTGTGTGTGCGCGCGGGTGAGTAAGAGGGTGAGGGCAGCCGCGCTGCACCAGGGGTTTGTCTTTCTGCCGAATATCTGTGGAAAAATCGATGCCGAATGTTGACGAGCGAGAGATGTGGCCTCTGACTCTCCCCCCGCCTACACACAGATAAATGTGTGCGCACACACACACACACACGCACACGCGCTCAGTGGGTGAAGACGGCATTGATTTGAAGAGGAAACTTAAACTGTTGTTTCTCGTCCACTTCCTGCTGTGTTACAGACACATGATGCACGTTTGGAACGAGGGTCGCGACCTGTCCTTCACTCCCGACGGTTACCAGGCCAACCCCAAACTGGTCGTCATTGTCCTGAACAGTGAAAGGAAGTGGGAGAAGGTAACGTGAAGACACGTCTCTGACGAGAAGCCAGGAAGTTGAGATCACTGAATTAAACCGCGCTCGTCCTTTTGTCCCGCTGTGGCAGATGGGCCGCTGGGAAAACGGCACGCTGTCGCTCATGTTCCCCGTGTGGCCGCGGTATAACTCGCACGGAGACGAGGACGCCGACGAAAACCACCTCTCCATCGTCACCCTGGAGGAGAAGCCGTTCGTCATCGTGGACAACGTGGACATCCTCACCGGCACCTGCATGAGGAACTCAGTGCCCTGTCGCAAACACGTCAAAGAGTGAGTACTCACACACACACACACACACACTGATGGAGTCCCCCCCCCCGCTGACTGCTGCTGAACGGCAGCATTAGCGGGCTGGAGGACAGACGGTCATTTGTCCACAGGTGGAACGACATGTCAGTTGGACAGAGGGGGTGCTGTTTCTTCATCTCACACCCTGTAATCTGTCAATCGACCGCTCTGTACAGTCGCACTCCTCTCGCCGTCCATCAGGTGTCGCTCAGAGCCTTTTACCCTTTTGTTCTACAAACAGCCAGAGCCGGCCCACTCATCTGGACGTTATATAATAATGACTCATTGTCTGTTGGTCCATTAGACCCGACTCCGACGCTGGGCCGCTGCGCTACAGTCGGAGAACGCTGCTCCGTTTAAGAACCAGGAGGGAAAAATAATAACAACCAAATCTAATGGTTGTGGACTTTTACTGAACTTTGACAACATTCAAAAATATAAATAAAAAAAAAGATGAAACTCATCAACAGCCCCCCCTAGAGGTGGATAAAGGAGCAGCATTTTCCTGTCCTGTCTTTTTAAGGCAGTACATTTTATTACTTTACTTTGACTTTTTTTTACATCTTTTTACATTTTCAGGGGAGAAAATGTCTGTGTGTGTGTGTTTGTTTGTGTGTGTTTGTGTTTGTGTGGCATCGTAACATTTTAATCTCAACATTTGAAGTAATATTTTATCCTTTTTCTAGTAAAATAAAATATTTTATTATAATTATAAAATACATTATTTATTACAAGTTTTAACAAAAATGTGAAACAGGTTCAAATTATTTTTCTTTTTTTTTCCAAACAACACATTTTAGTTGTTATTCCAGTGGAAACACCTAGGTGGCACTGTAACGATGGAACAAACCTGTGTTTTTCACTGATCAAACACAAACAGCTGTGGATCAAACACAGGTCACGTCCTGTTAAATTAAATGGCTGCTACATTAGGTCTCACGTCCATAAATTAGTTTATATTTGGCACTAATTAGCTTTTCAATTAGCCTTTCAACGTGTGACATTTCCTCCTTTGATTTAAATGTTGACGCTCTCTCTCCTGTGAATTTAGACACTGGTTTTTCTGGCTTCCTCCAATTTTCTTGTCATTTTTATCTTTCATCTTCCATCTGGACCAAAATAGCCTCATAAAATATTCTGTTCTGGAGCCAAAGATAAATAATCACAATCCATCCAGGACGCCACAGCTCCTTCTTTGTTGCTCCTCTGACACTGGACTTTTCTCCACTGGTTCTAAATTCTGCTCCTGCCGTTCGTGGCTCCATGTGAAAAGTCCTTCCTGCTACAGATGGTTTTTACAGAACCTTGAAGTAACGGCACTGTTTTTGTTGTTAATTTAGTCAGTCAACGTAAACGTGAAACTAGGAATGAATTGAAATACGTTTTGATTTCAATTTTAGTAAACACAGGTCTGGACCTCAGGCAGGCCAGGTCAACCAGGTTCTGTTTCCACTTCAACCAGGTTTGAGTCTCAAATACGTCGTTACGGTTCAGAGTGAGTGACGTCGTCAGTTAAAAAAATCAGTCAGTGAATCCTTTCATCATTTTCACATCAAACAGACAAAGGAAAACAAAAGCAGTTAAAAGCCTGGATGTACAGTGTGGACGATTTGGCAGCCGTCAGAAATAAAGAATAACAATGACGAGATATTTATCAAATACACTCTGAAAACTTCCTCAAAGATTCTTCCTCACTGCCTTTGACATCTCTGCTGTTGCTCCAATTATCCGCTCCGTGCAGTCGCCTCGCTCCGAGCTGCTGCAGAGCTTCTCCTTCTCTCTCCTCCAGTTTGAGTCGCGGCTCATCCGTTAGCAGCCGCCGCTCAACTCTACACCAGGATTCACCAGGATTCACCAGGATTCACCAGGATTCACCAGGATTCACCAGGATTCACCAGGATTCTCTGGCTGTATTTGTCACGGGCCAAGTAGCCTGATGCTGTCGTGCTGGTGATTAATCACTGACCTCCACACCACCACAGAAATCCATCGTTTGTAAAGATTCTTCTAACGTCGGCCAATTACGTCGCTGTAAATTAAATAAATGTCAACGACGGCGATGGGAAATAATGTGAACCGGTGGAGATCGTCGTTAGATGAATTTCTTTTTCTCTCTCTTTGAATAAACAACGACTTCCACGTCGTTAGACTCAACCATNGGGGGGGCAAGAGGGGGGGGGCTGTACTGTCTGTGCGACCATGCTTTTACACGTGTGTGCGTGCGTGGAGTCCTCCATTAGCGCTCCATTTACTCATTCACCTTCACTGCGTGTGTGTGTACAGTATGTTTGCTGACAAAGTGTGTGACGTGAGTCGAACAGATGTGTGTGTGTGTGATTTCCTCAGGCGACTCGTCTTTGTCGCTGCGTGTGTGTGTGTGTGTGTGTGTGTGTGACACTAGGTCAGATCAGAGGCTCAGCTGGGAACGTCTTGGTATGTCTACACTAAGTGTGTTTTATACCACCCGGGGCAATTACCACACTCACACACACACACACACACACGCAGAGGTGATGATGGTCCCAGATCTTACCTCCTTTGATGTTTGGTTTCCTTGACAACCGTCTCTGTGAGTTCCTCTTTGAATTCTTTCTTTCTTCATTAACTTTCTCTTGTTTTTGTGTCAGCAAAAATAAATGTCGAGGAAAAAAAGGTCACGGAGAAGTTCCTTCAGTCGATACACACCACGTCACGCCCAC